GAAACTTTTCTAACATGCAGCCACTCGTTTCTCATTTCCAGCAACTTGCTTCTTATTTTCGATTCAGCAGATCGTCTAAAACAAGGAATTCAGTCGTTTCTTATTTGCAGCAACTCGACTTAATTGTTTCTTAATTGTAGCAAACTTTTCTAACATGCAGCAACTCGTTTCTCATTTCTAGCAACTTGCTTCTTATTTTCGATAGTTGTAGGTGAATGGCTTGCACCATACACTCGGTTTAACAAAGAATATTTTAACGCATAAGAATATAAGAATTGTAAAGTAATACGTAGGCGTTGTTAATCTCTTTTCATTCTCTAGGGACGTAAAGGCTTTTTTTTGATGGAGCTTGTAAGAAAAGATTTTCACGAAAATTATTTTTGTCAATGATGTGTCTCTGCAACACCTAATATTAAAAGCCAATAAAAAATGAACGTTATCCTGAGAAGTCTACGTCTGAGGTCCTTTTTATTCTACTTGCATRTATGATGCTGCACAACTTGTTTGTGAGAGAGGTATGACAATTTATTAATTGAATACTTTAGGGCTTTACCAATAAATGATCGTCAACGATGTGTCTCTGAAACACCTTCCAATTAGGGCAAGTAATAAATAAACTTAGGAAATATGCTTTCTCAATTATTTCGAACTCATAACTTGGTGCTTGGTATTTAAAAGCTGCATTWACAGTACACGTGTTTGTGAGAGAAGTATGATACTTTATTGAATACCTTTAGGGCATTAGCAATAATTGTTTGTAATAGAGCGCTGTCAATCAAAGGTATAAAACCATTACTTCATTTCCAATTGCAACCAAAATTCCACGGGGTTTTATAGTTTTCAAAGGTTTAGCCGATTTCAATAAATGCATCCCTCCTTCTAAGTAATAGAACCAAATAATCCAGAATGTATATCTAGCAATTATTCGAATGCCATTTGGCATAATTCAATTTCTGGCCACCAACAAAGAAAGGTGTTGGTTTGGAAAGTATGGCCCCAGGGAAGGAACTATGAACCTTTGTTGGTCGCATAATTAAATGAGCGTTAGAATTAAATACTTATTGTCAGCGACTCCTTTAACGCGAGGTAGATTTAAGTGGATGGATTGAGTTTTTTTGGGAAGCAGGTTTTATCGTTTCCATGTACGACTTGGAATGACAGGGTTGACAATTTAGAAGAACTTTATTGGCCAGATATTTTAATGGAAGGCAATGAATGTACCACGAAGACCGACTACAGGATATGCTTGGGGGAAACTGACCAAGACGGTGTTCCAAGCCCTAAACATGAGTACAACATGCCTTGCAATTTACCAGAAAACATAAACTTTGAGAGTGACTCTTCGAAAAAATATGCCAAAGTTACAGGAATCAGTGGCCCTGACTCGATAAGTCCTTCAAATAAAGGAATTTCTGTGGCAACATTAAGGAGTAAAAGTCGTAGCCATGGCAATTGCAGGAGAAACCTCACACCATCTTCAACAACAGGCACTCAACGTGACAAGCTTAAGCCAAGCGGTCGCAATTACTTTGATTATAAAGAACTGCAAATGGCTTATAAAGRATTTCGAACGCAGGAAGAGAGAAACTGCTTTGCTTATTCTAGAGTAATACAGAACCGATTCCAGTCCATTGGTTTGAACCGAGCCCAACCTGTTGGATTCACAAAATATGATCCCAACATGGTAGCAGTGGTGAACATAAGCAAGCCAATGCGCCTGCAAWCAAGATATAGTATAAAGCCTAAACTAGAGTGCGAGTAATTGGACATTTATCCTTGAACAAAATCTAGGCTGATATATACGTTAGGGTTTAGCTAACTCTCACATCAAGTCCTGGAACTAGATCAGCCCAGAGGTTGTCTCAGGGTTAGATCTGTACGTAAGTTAGCCAAATTCTGAGATTCATCAGTCTAGACCAGATATAAGCATGCCTATGCAAATTTGGCTAACTTAGGTACAGATCTAACCCTGAGACAACCTCTGGGCTTCTCTTGTTAGGGCAGGGCTACCTCGACTCACAGATTTAATTGCAATTTAATAAGTTGGTTACACATTTATATGAGGCGACTGTTCTGAAGTATAATCACAGATTATGCCAGGGCCGCTTGCGGCCTGCACTATAAGATGGATTATACGAAGATAAAGGAGACGAATATAACAATGTGTAACCAACTTTATTTCGCTCTGCCCAATGTTTATAGACTTATTGAAAACATTGCAGAAATGGTGATACTATTTA